TCGTGCATAATTTTCTGGGATTTAAACATCCTCATTGTGCATGCACAATCAGCCATTTCATTCATAATTCAGAAAAAAGCAATCCACTGTGATACTCCCCACAAGGTCACTGACCTCATGAATGGTGGAGCTTTACTGTAATTTGGTTTCCTGATGCCACATAGCTTGTTTCCAAGTCTCATTCACAGAATGGCTGAACAGATGCTTCTGATGGCTTCACTGATTCTAATTGCAAACAACAGCTTAGAAACATAGATAACAAAGTATGGAGCTGGAGGAACATAGGAGGCCAGACAGCATCAGAGGAGCAGGAAAGCTAACGTTTCGGATCGGACCCTTCTTCAGAAATGGGGAAGGAGAGGGGACCTCAGAAAGGCTATTCGCAGGGATCGCTCTCTCCACGACTCCTTCGTCTGCTCCACACTTCCCACTAACCCCACTGGCCTCATCACTCCCGGCACCTTTCCCTGCAACCACAGGAACTGCTACATCTGCCCCTACACCTCCCCTCCACCTCCATTCAAGGCAAAAAACAAACCTTCAACATCAGACATGGGTTCACCTGCACATCTGTCATCTTGGTCTACTGCATCTGCCGCACCTGATGTGGCCTCCTCTACATCGGTGAGACCAAGTGGAGACTCGGAGACCGTTTTGTAGAACATCTGTGCTTTGTATGCGACAAACAACAACACCTTCCAGTCGCAAAACATTTTAACTCCCCCTCCCTGGGTGACATGTCCCTGGGCCACCTCCAGTGTCACAATGACGCCACCTGCAAACTGGAGGAATCGCACCTCCTATTCCACCTCAGGAGCCTACATCCCGATGGCCTGAACGTGGATTTTACCAGTTTTAAAATCTCCCCACGCCCGGCCTCATCCCATGGTCAACCCTCCCTCTCATCCCCGCCTCCTTGACCTGACACAACCTGTCCATCTTCTCTCCCACCTATCCGCCACTCCCACCTCACTGACTAATCCTGACCAATGCCTACATGCACTCATCTATCACCATCTCACCTACCTTCCTCAGCCCCACACCTCCTGTCTCTCTTTATTTCTGAGCTTCCCCCCACCACCCCCTGTCCATTTCTGAAGAAGGGTCCCAACCCGAAACATCAGCTTTCCTGTTCTTCTGATGCTGCCTGGCCTGCCATGTTCCTCCAGCTCCACACTTTGTTATCTCTGACTCCAGCATCTGCAGTTCTTGCTATCTCTGAGCTTGGATACAAAGTTGGCTTGAAGGTAGGAGACAAAGGGTGGTGATGGAGGGTTGTTTTTCAGACTGGAGGCCTGTTACCAGTGATATGCTGCAAGGATTGGGGCTGGGTTCACTGCTTTTCATCATTCATATAAATGATCTGGATATGAATATAGGAGATCTGGTTAGTAAATTTGCAGATGACACCAAAATTGGTGGTGTAGTGGACAGTGAAGAAGGTTATTTCTGACTGCAATGGGACCGTGATCAGGTGGGCCAGTGGGCCAAGGAGTAACAGATGGAGTTTAATTTTAGACAAACGTAAGGTGTTGCATTTTGTTAAGGTAAATCAGGGTAGGACTTAATGGTAAAGCCCTGGGGATTGTTGCTGAGCAAAGGGACTCATAATTCCTTGCGAGTGGAGTCGCAGGTAAACAGGGTGGTGAAGGCGGCATTTGGTACGCTTACCTTCATTGGTCAGCGTATTTATATAGGAATTGGGATGTCATGTTGCAGCTGTATTGCAGGCCACTTTTAGAATACTGCGTTCAGTTCTGGTCTGCTATAGGAAAGATGTTGTTAAACTTGGAAGTGTTTTTGGAGGGCTAGAGCTATAGGGAGAGGCTGAATAGGCTGTGGCTATTATCCCTGGAGCATCACAGGCTGAGGGATGACCTTATAGAGGTTTATAAGATGATGAGGGACATGGATGGGGTGAATAGATAAGGTCTTTTCCCAGGGAAGTGGAATCTAAAACTAGAGGCCATAGGTTTAAGGTGAGGGGGGGAATGATTTAAAAGGGATCTGAGCGGCAACTATTTCACACACAGTGGTACGCATATAGAACAAGCTTCCAGAGGAAGTGGTACAACATTTAAAAGGCATCTGAATGGGTACGTGAATATGAAAGGTTTAGAGGGATATGGGCCAAAAGCTAGCAAATGGGACTAGATCAGTATAGGATATCTGGTCGACATGGACAGGTTAGACCATGCAGCGTAACTCTATGACTCTGATATAGTGATAATGTAACCAGCCTAGTAATCCAACAGTCCAGGCTAATGCTCTGGGTTCAAATCCTATCAAGGCCGCTGGTGAAACTTAAATTTAGTGAATAAATCTGACATTGAAAGTTAGTCTCGGTAAGGTGAAATCATTATTGATAGCCATGAAATCCCATCTGGCTCAGTGATGTCCTTTAGGGAGAAAATATGCTATCCTTCGCTGGTCCACATGTCACTCCAGACCCACAGCAATTTAGCTGTTCCTTACCAGCCTTGTGAAGTAGCTTAAAAAGCTACTCAGCTCAGGGGCAATTGGGGATGAGCAACAAATTTTGACTTTTGACAGTAGTGCCCACATTTCACGAAAAGACAAAGGAGAAAACATTACTGTTAGTTAGTTGGTCAGCATTGTCAGCCATGGTTCAGTTAGTAGCATTAATGCACTCATCTCAGTCAGAAGATTGTTGGTTCTTTTGCTTTTCCAGGTCAAAAATTAAAGCTCACTCTAGTGCAGTGCTAGTGGACTTGTAGATTTTAAAATCTCATCCAAAATATCTAAGCCTCATCTCCCCTCTTAGGTGGATGTTAAAGATCAACAGGCATTATGTTGAAGAATAGGAGCATTATCCCAGTTTTCTGACTGACATCTATAGCTCAAACAACATCACGTAAACAGTGTCTGTGGCATTACAATTTTTAGGAACTTCCTGTATTGTCCATGTTAAAAAAGTGGCTGCGCTTCAGAAATACTTTGGTTTTAAAATGTTTCCCATCAAAAAGCTGAAAACTTGTAAGTGAGAGAATATTAATAAAAATTAAGGTAACATATTTGTTGGTACAATCTGTTAGTTGTAAGACATTGAGGTCTCCGCCATTATGGCAGTAGAATGATGAATTTAAGGGATAGCTAGATATGTGCAAGGCAGAAAGGAGTAGATGATTATGTTGATACTTAAGTGAATATGTTTTAGAGGAGGTTAAAACACCTATTGTTCCGACATGGAGACAGACAGCCAAACCAAATCAGCCTTTTTATCTCTATTCACAACACAGTAAAAATTGAAACTTTCAAAAAGCCTCAAAATTGACACCGATGGTTCCTAATCAGACTTTTTGAATAACCAATCCGAGATTTTACGAATAATCAATTCTTGACACCGGTTTGTAGCTTTAACTATAGACTTTGCTATTTATTACAGTATATTAACTTCAGTGGAGCAAAATTAAAAACAAATTAATCTAATTGGTTTATGCTAAAATCTAAAAACCTTTATTTTCAGCCCCCTTCATACAAAAGATAGACAACCAAACATTTAAGAAAAAAGGAAATAACACAACTGGCCTTGCGTGGTTTTCGCAAGACGTTGTTCCACAGGCATAGATAGTGGCTTCTTGGTAGATTTTCTAAAGATGTCGACCAAAGTCACCTTTTCATTTTAATTGAATTAAAGCAGCAGTACACAGTTTAGTTTCCTATTTTCTAAGCTTCCAAGAGCTGATAAGGAAGGTTAGGCAGGGAGCTTTCATTCTGTAGCATCAACAGCCAGATTCTTTTTTTCATACAAAATAGAGTCCGAAACCCAATTCAAACTCTGACCATTCCCTGACAGACTGAGTGTCATCTCAATGAGATCTCAGTTACCATACAACGTTTATCATCTGCTTGAGCATTAAGTCTTTTCCAGACTTAGAACCAATTCTCAGGTACTGACCTCGTTAATCACCAACTTCTGATATTTCTTTAAACATAATGCTCTTTCCTGGTGATAAAGCATCTGCAGAATCTTTTGATCAGGAGATGATCTGCAATTGACTTCCAGGCCTGGCCCCATGAAAAAACAAAAGCTTGTTTGGTCTGTTTTCCTTTTAATACAAACTTTTACCTACAGTCCAAAAGTCATCTTTAACTCTCAGTTCCCTATTTACAGCTCTAAACCAAAATTGCTTTGGAAAAAAAACGAAAATCAGCAAAGGCTCTAACACAATATAGATCACTTGGATTGAATGGTCTGATTCTATTTTGTGAATTCTGTGTAATGTTAACCATCATTTCTGTTGATAGTTCATAAGTTTCTTTGGTAAAAAAAATTGGAATGATTATCATTCATTGAAACAAATATGTAGAAATGCTTTCTGCATTGCTATCTTCCATATTTTCATATGATAATCCTTTTATGCTTGTAGGCTGTGACCTTAGAATGAAATGTTCATTAAACCGGCACACAGCTCCTGTTTTGTCATGTTGTTTTTCACCAGATGGGCAGATCTTAGTCTCTGGGTAAGTGAAGATTTTTCCCTGATACCTGCGAATCCTCATGTTCTGAAATTGTATTTTCATTGAAATTGTTGTCATTGCCCCAGTTTTTATCTTTAAAAAATCAAGAGTTGCGCACCTGTTAAGTCGATAAAATTTGAGAAATTAAATTGAAACTTAGGTTCCTCAAATTTTTGAACTATTTTGCAAATAAGCTTCACTTTATATCACATTTAGGTTGTATACGTATGCTCTGCGTCCTTTAAATAAGTTGGCTGTTTCACATTAGCAACGTGTCCCATTTCACGAATCATGTACTACCTCAATTGAATCCTAAGTCAAATAGCTTAACTGCTTATTTATTGGCACCTCTGAAATGTTTCATTGCTATTTCCAGATACTGCAAAAGATTATACAATCCTGCAGAACATAACAGTGGAGCAGTGGAATTGACTCAGAATCTCCTGATCTATTCTCTGCCCCATGAAATAGCTCCTGTACTACCTCTATGTGTTTTTCTTTCCCATCTCATTTCTTACTTCCACCCATATGGACTCCACATCTTCCAATTCAGGATAATTTATTGCCATCATACTTATTCGACCCCATACTGACAATTTCCTTCCTGTCAATCCTTTCAAGAAGTCGCATATTTAGTTCCCAGCTTTGATCTCCTTGTAAGCATTTCTCCTTAATGGCTATAAGATCATAACCCCTTAGCCTATACTTGGGCTACTAACTCAGTTATATTCCGAATATTATGCACGTTCAAATAAAGAGCCATTAATTTCTTAGCACTTTTTTCTCTTTTGATCCGTTTACAGCTGTTTTTCTATGCTTGAATACTAAGTTCTGCTCTCGCTTTTGTATCCAAATAGCTGCCTTGTATTGGTATCACATCCTCCTGCTTTGTTAGTCTTCAAGACCCTTTATTTATCCATCTATCAAATCCAATCTTGAATTTTGGTGCCTTAGCCACTAACCCTAGAAAATATATTCTGAATACACATTCACCTAAAATTCTGTTAAAATCTAAGTGTTGAACATGATTTGTTTTGCCAGTGTGTCTTTCAAAAGAGACTGGTTAAATGAAAATATCTCATTTATGGAACAGTGCAATTCATGAGATAAATGCACATAATCAATGAAACTATCTATTTTATAGAATGAGAATTAGTGCAATTTTATATTTTCAAACTGGTTTGTAGTTGAAAACTTCTGTTTCTTCTTTTAAAGGTCTGTTGACAAATCTGTAATCATTTGGAATTCGGTAAGTCTACATAAATGTTGCTTTGGGCGAATTGAGAATGTCACAATGGAGTATGTATTCAAAACTGTGCAACTGCCTATAACTAAGTACTATTTTCATTTCAAACAATAGAGATTTGAAATTAATGTTAGGCTTATACCATTAATATAGTTTTTCTTTAATTCTGGTCTATTTGAGCCTGGCTATGTATATTTGTTTACAATGCAGTATTCATGACAACTAAGCTGTGCAATTTTATTTTTTGCCTTGTGTTAAAGTGTAAACAAAAGCTAGGGTTTTTTTAAATTCAGTTTGGTCAATGGCAGGTTCCTACAGATTGGAACGTAGCTACTGTTTAAGAAGGGAAACAGAGAAAACTGGGAATTATAGACCAGTCATCTTGTCAATAGTGGGGAAAATGCTAGAGTCCATCAGAAAATAATTAAGAGCTGAGCATTTGAAAACAATAGTAGGATCAGTCAGTCATCATAGATTTATGAAAGTAAGATCATGCTGTTCAAACAAATGACTAGTTGAGTTGATGATGGGGAGCCAATGAATGTGTTTTATTTGAGCTTTCAGAAGGCTTTTGACAAAGTCCCACACGAGATAAGTGTGCAAAATTAAAGTGCATGGGATTTCGGGTAGTGTTTTGAGATGGATAGAAAACTGGTTGGCAGACAGGAAACAAAGAGTAGGAATAAGTGGGACACAGGCAGTGACTAGTAGGGTACTGTAGGGATCAGAGCTAGCACTCCAGCTGGTCTCAACATATATTAATGATTTGAAATCAAGGAACTAAATGGAATTTCTCCAAACTTGCAGACAACGCAAAGCTGGGTGGGAGGGCAAACCGTGAGGAGGATGCAGAGATGCTTCTTGTGATTTGGACATGCTGAAAAAGTGCGCAAGTTTATTTCAGATGCAGTATAATTTGGATAAATGTGAGGCTATCCTTTGGGATTAAAAATAAACTTTGGGAGCAGAAACCAGGAGACAGGTTATTCTCTGGCTATAAATTGAGAGGGAACATGCAATGAGACCTGGGTGCCCTCCTACACCAGTCACTGAAGGTAACCATGTAGGTACAACAAGCTGTGAAGAAGGCAAATAAGTTTGTTGGCTTTCATTGCAGGAGGATTAGAGTACAAGAACATTAATGCATTAATGACTTGCTGCAGTTACATAGGGCTTTGGTGAGACAATAGTTTTGGTTTCTTTATCTGAGGAAGGGTATTTTGGCTGTGGAGGGAGTGCAGCAAAGTTTTACCAGACTGATTCCTGGGATGGTGGGACTGATATTTGGGAGAGGATGAATCAGTTAGGATTATGTTTGCTAGAGGTCATAAAACTTAAAATCTAATAGGACGAGAGAGGGTACATATAGGAAGGATATTCTGGATGGCAGGGGATATCCAGAACCAGAGGTCTCAGTCTAAGAATACAGAGTAAACCCTTTAGGACTGAGATGAAGAGGAGTTTCTTCACCCGGAGAGTGGGGAGTCTGTGGAATTTGCTGCCACAGAAAGTAGTCAAGGCCAAAACATTGTATGATTTCAAGAAGGAAGTAGATGTAGCACTTGTGCTTGGGGGAATGGTATTTGAATTATATGATTAGCCATGATCATGAATTATGAAACAGGCTCGAAGGGCCAAATGGCCTACTCCTCATGTTTTTATTATGCATTTTATTTATATGATTGTATAATTGTTTAAAACATTAGCTATGAATTTGTTTGATTTTAATGTTGCTCTTTTATTATGTAGAGCAGTGGAGCACCGCTTTACACACTGACACAGCATGAACGGTATGTAATTAACAGGTAAAATCATGGGTGTCTCGCCAGTGACATCAGTTAGGACCTGTCTTCACTGCCTAATCCTAATTAAACTCAATCACCCTCTGATAGTACTTTATAATTTTTGTAGCTGAAAAGCTTAAAAAAATTCCATTTCCAATAAAATTGTAAACATGGACACAGAGCTTTTCCATACTGTCTTTGGTTATGCTGAACAATAGAATAATTAATTAAGTTAATTTTGCCTGATCTCTGATTGGTCCCACACTACATACACTATAAAGTTGTCCCTCAAGGCACTCAATTTGATAATGGGCATTATCTCTTTGTTCTTTATGGTTTGTGTGGATATGCAGCAGCAACTACAATCTCCTTATCAACAACCAGCAACTATTTACCTTCAAATGGTTAAGTCAGCTATATTCACTGGTCCTGATGCAAGTATCACTATGACAGCTCTTTTATATTTGTGAATCAGGCATGAGTTGTCATGTGTTCTGGATGACCAAAATCGCATGCGAGTGTTTGTAATTTTCTGATTGCGCATCAAATATCTGTATTACAAAGAACAAAGAAAATTACAGGCCAGGAACAGGCCCTTCGGCCCTCCAAGCCTGCGCGATCCAGATCCTTTATCTAAACCTGTTGCCTATTTTCCAAGGATCTGTATCCCTCTCCTCCCTGCCCATTCATGTATCTGTCTAGATACATCTTAAATGACGCTATCATGCCCGCCTCTACCACCTCCGCTGGCAATGCGTTCCAGGCACCCACCACCCTCTGCGTAAAGAACTTTCCACGCATATCTCCCTTAAACTTCTCCCCTCTCACCTTGAAATCGTGACCCCTAGTAATTGAGTCCCCCACTCTGGGAAAAAGCTTCTTGCTATCCACCTTGTCTATACCTCTCATGATTTTGTAGACCTCAATCAGGTCCCCCCTCAACCTCCGTCTTTCTAATGGAAATAATCCTAATCTACTCAACCTCTCTTCATAGCTAACGACCTCCATACCAGGCAACATCCTGGTGAACCTCCTCTGCACCCTCTCCAAAGCATCCACATCCTTTCGGTAATGTGGCGACCAGAACTGTACGCAGTATTCCAAATGTGGTCGAACCAAAGTCCTATACAACTGTAACATGACCTGCCAACTCTTGTACTCAATACCCTGTCCGATGAATGAAAACATGTCGTGTTTTTCTTGACCACTCTATCGATCTGCGTTGCCACCTTCAGGGTACAATGGTTATAGTTAGCTATAGTTTAGCTGTAGTTTGCAAGGATTTAGTTTACCTATGAACTTTGCAGAAGGTCAGAGTCAGGGATCTACTGCATCAAGACTTTCACAAGTACTTGTGACTTCTCATTAATTCCAATCAACTTTCCAAACTTCAGGGTTTAAGTTGCATTAATCCAAAAGGCTCGCTTCAAGTTCTGCTGGACGGAGTTACGTCTCCTTTCCCCCAGTTGTGGGATTTCTAAAGGTTTGTGGTATCACAGAGAATGTATTGGAGGGTGATTTTATGACGGTATGAGCAGCCAAGTTGGAGACAACAAGGACTGCAGATGCTGAAGCTGGAAAAGCACAGCAGGTCAGACAGTATCAGACAGCTTTTCCAGGTGAGCAGCCAAGTTGTTGGTCAGTTGAGGAAGTTGGTGATATGCTGTTTTGCAATACTCATTTGACCATCAAGAAATTGATTATGGCTGAATTTGGTCCATGCCAGTACACCGGATTTAACTAGAGTATCTTTATACAATCAATCATATTTAAAGTACTGATGATGCCCTGGAGCATCCTATCGTCCAGTATGCATTTGATTAGGATCAGGAAAGAATAGGTCATTCAGCTGAGATTGCACTAGCAGTCACTAAGATCTCAAATATAGGTGGATGGACACATACGGAGGATGACATGAAGAGTGCAGAGACATATAGACACGCTAAGCGAGCGGACAATAACAATATACTGACGTTGGAGACATTTCAGGGAAAGTTCACTATGTTGATCCTGGGTATGGAGGGAATTTCTTATGAGGAGAGGTTCAGTAGGTTGGATATGTACTCATTGGAGCTTAGAAGAGTGAGAGATGGTCTTATTGAAACTTCCAAGATTCTTAGGGAACCAGAAAATGTGGAAGCGTCTAGGACCATTGAGCATAAAGGAAATCAAGGGTTGCCCATACAAGACAGATGAGAACAAATTTCTTCTGAGGGTATTACAGTGTGTGGGATTCTTTGATGTAGAGGCTGGGTCATTAAGGGAATTGACTTGATGGGCCGAATGGCCTAATTCTGTTCCTACATCTCATGGTCTACTCTGATTCTGACCTCAACTCCTCTTTCCTGCCTACCCAGATACCATATCTACTTCTGCCTTAACAAAAACTAGTGACACTGCCTCCACCACTTTTGGGGAAGAGAGTTCCACAGACTTATGACCTTTAGCCATATGTAGCAGACTACTTATTTTTAAACTGTGTACCCGAGTTCTCGTTTCTCCCACAAAAGGAAAGTTCTTTCAGCATATACCCTGTCAAGTTTGCATAGATTCTTGTACATTTCGTAAGAATATAAGAAGTAGGAGCAGGAGTAGGCCATCTGGCCCATTGAGCCTGCTCTGCCATTCAATAAGATCATGGCTGATTTTTTCATGGACTCAGCTCCACTTACCCACCCGTTCACTTAAATGTTTTGAAGGCAAAAAAGGATTAAAGGAGGTAGCCTCAACTGCTTCACAGATTCACAACCCTTTGTGTGAAGTTCCTCCTCAATTCAGTACTATATCTGCTCCTCTTTATTTTGAGGCTATGTCCACTAGTTCTAATTTCACCCAGCCATTGAGACAACCTCCCTGCTTCTATCTTATCTATTCCCTTCATAATTTTATGTTTCTATAAGATTCCTACCTCATTCTTCTAAATTACAATGAGTATAGGCCCAGGCTACTCAATCTCTCCTCATAAGCCAACCCTCAAGTCCAGAATCAACCTTGTGAACTTCCTCTGCACTCCTTCCAGTGTCAGTACGTCTTTTCTCAAGTAAGGAGACTAAAACTATACGTAGTATTCCAGGTATGGCCTCACCAGCACCCAATACAGCTGCAGCATAACCTCCCTGTTTTTAAACACATCCCTCTAGCAATGAAGGACAATATTCCATTTGTCTTCGTGACTACCCGCTGCATCTGCAAACCAACTTTTTGTGATTCATGCACAACGACATTCAGGTTCCTCTGCACAGCAGCATACTGCAATTTTTCACTATTTAAATAGTAGTCCATTTTGCTGTTATTCCTACCAAAATGGATGACCTCACATTTACCAACATTGTACTCCATCTGCCAGACCCTTGCCCACTCACATAACCTACCTATATCCCTCTGCAGACTTGCAGTGTCCTCTGTACACTTTGCTCCACCATTCATTTTGGTGTCATCTTTTCCTTTGACACATTACACTCGGTTCCCAACTCTCGATCATCTATGTAAATCGTGAACAATTGCGGTTTCAACACTGATCCCGACGCACACCACCAGCCTGTAGATCACTGACCAGAAAAACACCCATTTATCCTCACTCCTTGCTATCTGTTAGTTAACCAATCCTCTATCTATGCTAATCCTTTACCCGTAACACAGTGCACCTTTATTTTATGCAGCACCCTTTTGTGTGGCAACTTGTCAAATGTCTTTTGGAAATCCAGATATATCAAATCCACCAGATTCCCATGTCAGCCACACTCGTAATGTCTTCAAAGAATTCCGTAAGTTAGTTAAACATGACCAGTCTTTCATGAACCCATGCTGCATCTGCCTGACAGGACAATTTCTATCTAGATGTCTTGCTATTTCTTCCTTGATAGATTCATGCATTTTTCCCACTACATAAGTTAAGCTAACAGGCTATAGTTACCTGGCTTTGGTCTGCCTCCTTTTTTCAAAAAAGTGTTGTCACATTTGCTGTTTGTCAATCTGCCAGAACTGCCACAGAGTCGAGCAAATTTTGGTAAATTACCGTAAGCGTGCTTGCTGTTTCTTTTGCCATCCTGGGATGCATTCCGTCAGGGCCAGGAGACTTGTCTACCATTACCCCTTTAGTGATAATGATCGTTTCTAGGTCCTCGTCTGCCAAAGCCTCCTTGACATCAATTATTGGCATGTTATTGGTGTTTTCCACTGTGAAGACTGACATAAAATACCTGTTAAACAGCTCAGCTATTTTTCATTCTCTAAAGGACCTATGTTTACCTGAGCCACACTTCTTTTCATTTTATATTCTGAGCTAGTTTACTCCCATAGTCCGTCTTAGCCACCAAGAAAGCTGTTAATCTTGAAAGATTTCCCAATAATCTTTGCTACTTTGTATGCATTAGCTTTCAATTTGATACCATCCTTTATTTCCTTTGTTATCATTTCAAAATGATCATCTCGTTCTTCTAAACTCCACCTTTTGCTCATAACAACCAGTGTCTCGGGAATAATTAAAATGAACTGCTTCAATTGTAATTGTATTTCTTTTTAAACAGGGAGACTAAAACTGTACACCATCATCTAGATGTAGTCTTGAACAACTGAAACAAACATCCTACTTCTTTGTTCTGAAGGGTCACTGGACACTAAATGTTAATTCTGATTTCTCTCCATGGATGCTGCCAGACCTGCTGAGAATTTCCAACAATTTCTGGTTTTGATCCCACTTCTTTGTTCCATTCCACTTGCAGTAAGCCCAGATCCTTCTATCACAACAGTTCTACAACGTATCTCCATTTAAATAATATGCTTTTCTACTCTTTCTGCCAAAGTGGACAATTCACATTTCCCATTATTATCCTCAAAGACAGTCAACATCCTGGAAGTTACCATTGACCAGAAATTGAACTGGATCAGCTGTTTAAATACTACGACTACAAGAGCATGTCAGAGGCTGGGAATCCTGTAGGAAGGAACTAGTTTCCCGATTCCCCAAAGCCTATCTACCATCTAGAAGGCACACATCAGGAGTGTGATGGTGTACCTCCACTGAACATTGAGTAATCTCCAACAACTTGTACAACCTTCTTTACAAGAAGCACTACAGAAATCGACCAAGGGTTCTTAGACAGTACCTTCTAAACGCATGACTGTGACCCTCTAGAAAGGTAAGGATGGCAAATACATGGGAATACTATCACCTGCAAGTTCCCCTCCGAGCCACTCACTGTTGTCACCTAAGTTACAGAAATATCACTATTCCTTCAATGTAGCTGGGTCGAAATCCTGGAATTCCCCCCGCCCCGCTTAACAGCATTGTGGATGTATCAATGTGAAATGGAATACAGCAGTTCAGGAAGGCAACTCACCACCTTAAAGGCTTTTAGAGGATGGGTGATAAATGCTGGCCCAGCCAGTGAAGTCCATAACCCTGAATGCAAAATAAAACACCAAATTTTTTGCCCACTCTCTTTATCTATAAATGCTATATCTATAATATCTAATAATAGATTCCTTATGTCCTGGTTACAGCTTACTTTCCAAATTATTTTTGTGTCGTCAGCAAATGTAACCACCGTATATTCTGTCTCTTCGTGTAAATAATTGCTATAGACGAGGCCCCAGCAATGATTCTCGTGGTACTCCATTCTTCATACCTTGAATGACTAATTTATGCTTACTTTGTTTCCTACTAACCAACCAACCCTCATGCAGATTTGTTTTACCCCTCATAACATGGGTTCTCATTCTATGTAGGAACCTTAGTGGCATCTTGTCAAATGCCTTCTGAAAATCTAATACACTAATAAAGGTTCCCCTTTATTTACATCGCTTGTTACTTCCTCAAAGAATTCCAGCAAGTTAGTAAAATACTTTTCAAACTAAGGTGACACTGCCTGATTGCATCAAGATCAATGGCAGCTTGCGTGATATCGTGTTACCAACGTCTTGCAAGATTCCGTATTGGTTCCTTAATTCAATAGGGCGAATACAGGGCCCACAGAAGCTGCACTTGGCTTTCTTCTGAAATCCAGCCAAAAAATGTATCAGAGGACCAAACATTGAGTACAGAAACTGCAATTAGGTCAGAATTCCACTTCTTTTGAAAACACTGACTCAACAAAATAAGTGATTCTCCAGAGGATATATTCTAGAATTTTATAGGCCATGTAAGAGATGTACCAGTCTATTGCTTTCAGGGTCATTCTTTGGCTTTACAGTATGGCAATCTGTAATACTGACAATTTCCTAGTAGAATTTCTTGGGGACTTTCTCCCGTGACTGTTGAAAGGCTTCCTTTGTGGCAGTCGGATCTTTTGGAACAATTGAGGCCACTGCTTGTTGTGTTTATTCATAGGTCTCTTGGTGTTTCTTCTTGTGCTGTTTACTATTTTAGAGGCTAAGCAATTGGTTTGGATTTAGAAATGTAATGGTCTGTCAGATTAGTAGCTTCAGGGTGTTTTCTTAGGATACACACAACTTACATCAAGTTCAGATATTCCATAGAATCAATTCAGTTATCATCTGGCTGAGTTTTGAGATCCAAGCAGGTCATCTGTAGTCTGAGCTAGCCAACTGAATGTACTTCTGAATTACGTCCTGCAACCCTTCATCCAGGAGGGTATGAATTTTCCTAGAAGCCCTGAAAATGCTCTAACTGACAATAGCAATAGAGAGGCTACTTAACTAATTACATCCCAGTGGTGCAAGGATACAGTTCACTCCTTTTACAGTGCTTCCCTGTAGGAATTTAGATTTCCTATCACTTAAATTTCTGTGTTGAGTTTGGGGAATTAAGGGAGTATTTTGCAGGATGCATGACATTTACTTCCACATTGATGTTTGGAAACAATGGTGAAATGCAGGTGATTGTCATGTTTCCAATAACCAGTGTTCACTTGCAAGTCATCAAATATCTGGTCTGTGAGATCTTTGCCGATTTAGTTTGCTTCACAGTCCCATGTGGTGTTATGACTGTTCAAGACACTAAATTTTTGGGCCAAAATTGGTCTGCTTGGGAGAGTAAGTTTCAGCCATTTTTTATGTATTGTTGGTTCTGGGCATCAGCAGACTTGAAACTTCCTGAGAACTTCACTGGCAGGATGGGTCAATCAGAGTTTCAGATCTTTAGTTGTGTGGAACTAGCAGATTTTACATTTGGCAGAAAGGATTGACATTTTATTCTTGCGTAACTGCTCACCAAAGATTTTTTGACAAGCTTGAGTTTTTCACAATTTTTCCACCACCACCATTGCACTCAAATAGTAACTGAGTCTCAAAGGTAGCAGGAAAATACTGTTGTTTGGCAGTACTAAAGCCAACTCAGTACTATTTGAATGACTGAACTTATGAGAACATTCTCCTGAAACAATCTGCTGTACAGTCTTTGACTTCGTATGTTTTACTACTGCATTAATTTTTTTTTTTAAACAACATTTTCAGGTATGTGACAACTTGTGCATTTGCACATGATCTTCCCCTAATTGCAACTGGCTCTATGGATAAAACTGTGCATATTTGGAAAATGGGATTTAAGGACATTTCTGGTTCGTATTTAATTTTCAGAATTTCACCTCAAACATGTTGAAATTATTTACATATAGATGTGTAATGGGAAAGATGAAAAATGTATACACATCATCCATGGCTAATACAAAATACATTTTTTTTTAAAAGATATTGAATCATCGGGGAGACTTAGACGTTCTGTTCAGCACTGGTCAGAAGATGAGGTCTGTTCGTGGCTT